TTTGAGACTGAGGAAGGCCACCCTGGAACAAGGTGCCCACTTTAAGGAGACACTTGCTTTCAAGGCTGTGGGGGACGTTCTGAATTTTTGCAAAACTGTTTATTCACTTGTTTTCTCCTAGTCCTGGTCCCCAAACATCTTCTTTTAGGTTTAAAAAAAAAAAGTTATGTTTAAAGGCACCTGACGACCCAGTGTGGTAGACATTGGTCGATCGTTTGATCTCGCCGGGGCTCTGTGGGAGAACGCTGGGCAGTCTGCTCCGGTAAAGATTTATAGCTTCAGGCTGTCCGCTGCCCTATCCTGCTGCCATGAGTGGAACGGGCTTGACGGCAGAGGGTGTCTTCCCTTTTTTCGGTAGCAAGCTCAAGGGAGAGGATTAGGTAGGTCTTTATTTCCATAGACTTTTCTTTTTTAAGATCATTTTATCGGGGGCTCTTACAGCTCCAAACCATTTTCTAACAACATCGGTGCATTTGTGGTAGGACTATCAGCTCCTCATGAGTTGTTAATTGCCCTCCACCAGGAATGTGACGAATCAACTCCGGAGTCCCTGTCTGCGTCCCAGCTCACCCCGTCCTTGAACCTGGTGGAATTTGGGTCCACTGTAGAGGACACGGCAGCCGACCTTGGAGAGCACGGTAGGAGTGTCCCCTGTATTCAGAAGGGCGATCTCAGCTGACACACGCGGGCCGGTGTTCAGGGGGTTCTCGCGTGCCAGCTCCTCATAGTGGAACTCAGAGAAGCCTTGGAGGGACGTGGTCACCTGCTGTCAGTTTTGTCAGAGCTGAACTATGATTGTGATGAGAAGCTGGGATGCCGAGGAGTTGGTCCTCTCTCGTGTCTCTTTTTGTAATAGTGAAGTTGAATCGGATGCTCTTCCCAGGCCAGGGACCTTTTCTTTTGCTTGGGTTCAATGTCACTAAAATTAGCCTGACTTTGGCCAAGCGTAGCAATGCACGGAAGCAAAGGCTTGCCCCGGCCTTCATCAATTGAAACAGAAGAAGCGACACTAGGTTTTGGAAAGCCAGTCATTCCTATGTTGCTGGCTTGGGTGGAAGGGGAACTGCTCAGAGCAGCCTCTCCAATGGGGAGGTGTATATGACCGCCTAAGGGGTTTGAAAACATATGTTCTGAAGTTAACTGAGCTGGTCCTGTCACGTCCTTGCATTTGGAGGTTCAGCAGTAGAAATCTCGCCTCTCATGCTTGAGACCCTAATTCCATTTCTGGCCAGCATTTGTGCCTCACGCACAGCCAGCGCCCTCTGTCTGTCCATCAGTGGAGGCTTGTGCGTTGCAATCAGGCTGAATAGGGTTCAGTGGGGCTTGTAGATGAAGACGCACTAGGAAAGAAGATGTGGTGATCTAGTCCCAAGGTTCAGCCAGTGTAAACCTATGGACCCCGATGTCCAATCCCTAGTGAATCTGGGGAGAGTGCGGGACCAGGCTTTTGTTGTTGCGTGTGTGGGGTTTCCATGAATCAGGGCAGCTAACAACATCAGTTCTTTTCTAAAAAGCCCTTGCCAACTTAATCTAGATCTCAGTTTTCTCACCCATGAAATAAGAAGAATAGCAGCTCATTTCAGTGCTGCTGTGGCACACAAATGAGACCAGGCATGGGAAATACTCGTAGCTGGGAGCCTCGTGCACAGCTCATGAACCTAGAGGCCCTTTCTGTTTTGTTATCCATTCTCCCTAGTGCCAGGGATGTGGTGGGACCTTGAGGACTATGTCTTGAATGAGTAGGTAAGTGAATGAAGGATAGCCTTACAGGGCCTCTAAGTAGACGCCAAGATGGCATGACATCAGAATGCATGATATAGAGGAAACATGTATGTGAATGGAAACAGGACAGGGATAGGAAAAGTCGAGAGACCCATCAGACGTTGATGCGAGTCTGGCTGCAAGTGAAGGAAACGAGGTTCAGTAGGAAAATCCTGCGCGATGCGGTTAAAGGAAGACCTTGTAAAGGATCAGGAAGCCGTCACATAGAGTGTGCCGTCAGAGGTCTACCTTTCCGTGCCTGCTGCCCTCGGGCAGTGATGCGGAGCAGCCCTTGGGGAGGCTTAATAGCCTTCTAAGAAAATGCAGTTGTGTTTTCTGTAGTTGGAAGTCTGTAAGGAGGACCCTCAGGGCTGCACCGTGGTGTGAACACCTTCTTTGGCAGTAGTTTAGTTTTTTTCCAAAATGGAGAAGAAAAGTAGTGAAACTGGGCTTGGCCAGTTACCTCCGGTCAAATTGGTACTCCCTGCCTTCCTGGGAGCGTCATGAGGGCCTGTGTTGCCTCCCCCAATGGACCGAAGACCAAGCACCTGTGCTTTTTCAGCTGACAATGTGAACTTTTAAAATTGGCCCCACCGAAGGTGTCTTGTAACATATGCACTGGGCAAACAAATGTGTGTATCAGATGGATGTGTACTTCAGACCCTTTGGAGTATGTGTCGTATCCTGAATATATCATTTATTAATGTCCATGTCCCTGACATGTGATTTTCAATTTTCAAAAAAATAAAATTTTGGGTGCACAGAAATGGACCATGTACTTGTCTTTTGAGGAATATCACATAGAAAAATGGTAGGGCACTGGGTAGCACTTGAAATGAGTAGTTTGTGCTCTGGCAGAGAGGAGAGCCATAGCTGTGTGTCAAAGGGGAAGCTCTGGGAATAGAAATTCACTGTGACGCCTAGGATCAAGAAGACTAAGTCCAGCCTCCTGGCTCTGGGAGGGAAAAGTACTTCAGACAGGATTTTTAGAGGTGAACAGCCAAAGACAGGAAGTGATTTGCTCAAGGCCTCTACCCATCTTGCCTTCTAGTTCAGCACCTTTTCTGTTTCCCCCAAACTCTGCTTTTGGGACAGGTTGGTAAGATCAGTGGGTTTGTAATTAGGCAAACATGTCAAGTGAATTGAGCTTTCAGAAGGCATTTCTGAAGGTGTCTCTGTGCTTACATGACCGTAGCCATCAAATTACCTCCAAGCAAGTCCTACCTCTACAAACTCCAGCTCAGAACCCAAGCTGATGTCACTGAGGTTTCAATTTGATGGACAGTGCATGATTTTGCCAATTAAACGGGGCATGGTCAAATCTAACCCTTTGGCCACCTCGTTCCTTGATGGAAACACTGCTGGGGTCCCTATCAAGCTGTAAGATTCAAAACACATCATGAGCCAGTTGTCTTATAAAGTACTCTACACACAGCCCCTGGTTTTCCTCTCAGTGAATTCGTGTTTTCTTAAGGGTGATTCCTTCCTATATATTACATATGAAAAGGGACTCGGACCAATCACATACACTTTGGGATTCTATAAGTCATTAGAATAAAGGACAACTACAGAGATGATTGATGATTGCATAGTTGAGTCATGAAATGAGACTTTAATTTGTTGGTGAACTCTGGAGTGGTGAATTATTTTCCCAGTGTGCTCTTTGCCTTTTAGAAGATTCAGTTGCAAACTTTCAGCACCGAGTGGAAGTTGGTATTTGTTTATTTTTATGTACTGTGTACATTTAAAATAAAATTACACAGTCATATTTTTAAACTCCCATATCAATGTTTAATCAGTCTTTGATGTTGAATTGGAGAATTCCCTCTGGGATGTGAGGGATTAGTTGCAAGGAAAGAAGACACGATAATACTTAGTTACATTTGATATGCATTTGGGTGACTCCAGCTGATTGAATCTAGCCAAAGTCACGAGTAAGCATTCTAATCAAAGAGAGCACAATCGGAACTCCAAAGGAATCGTCCCTACTTAACTCTTTATCTGCAATGTTGACGATTTCGTGCACATTAATTTCTCAAGTTGCAGAGCGGAGTTTCCTGCAAAGGTTCAGGATGGCCTTCGACTCCTGGGCCCAGGCTGACCCAAAGCTTGACCCTCTAACCCACCTTTTCAGATGTGGAGGCTTCCTAGGAGCAGATCTTGGTTGCCTGTCCCCCTCTATCCTCACCCCGAACCCCCACGGCTTGAGCACCTCCCACTTTCTCTTTCACCCTCTCCTAGAGCAAGTCGTGAGCCCCTTCCCTGAGTTACAGAAAGCCTTGATTGACCTAAAGGGAGTTCTAAGTTGCTTGCCGGCAGGAATTATATACTCTTTTTGGTACTGGGCTACCCCATGATCTTGACCTCTCTTCTTTTTAAATGTCCAAATGCAAACAAGATGATTTCCACTCTGTTTAAACTATGAATTACTTGTATCATGAATGCTCATGGGAGCAGCAATCAAGAGAGCTCAAACAGCACACGGAATTATGTGAATCTGTTCCCCAATACCTCTTCAAAGTCTTGAAAAGCAAGGATGTTACTTTGAGGACTAGGGTGAACCTGACCAAGCCATGATATTTCAATGGCCTCATCTGCATGTGAAAGGTGGACATCAAATAAGGAAGACTGAAGAAGAACTGATGCATTTGAATTATGGTGCTGGCAAAGAAGATTGAAATTACCATAGATTACCACAAGAACAAACAAATCTGTCTCGGAAGAAGTATGGCCAGAATGCTCATAGAGGCAAGGATGGAGAACCCACATACTTTGGACATGTTGTCAGGCAAGACCAGTTCCTAGAAAAAGACATCAGGCTTGGTGTGTGGTAGTTACATAATTTCATGTCAACTTGATAAGTATAGGGGTGGAGTCTAGCCTGTCAATCATGTCACAGCTTGATGACGCCTCCTTGTGGGGTGTGGCCTTCTCATGAGGATTCTGGGAACTTCCTTTCTTTGTTCCTGGAGGTGGGTGTGTTAGACAGGGTTCTCTAGAGAGATAAAACCAAATTGCTGATAATTAAATACATTTATTTATAAAGATAATTAGATAGATAACAAGAAATGAACTGTTAAATTATATACAGATAAATATAAGAAATGAACAGTTAAATTATAAGCACTACAAATGGCTCAGAGTTGTGAGAGACTAGGGTCCTTCTCCATCTCTCTGCTGCCAGATCACCCTCTATTTATAGAGTGAGTCTATCTCAGCACAGCAGCCAATCACAAGGCAGATCACCAACTGTCAACTAATCACCAGTCCCAACTGCCAGTCCTCAGCTCCAGAGATGCCTTAAAGGGACCTCAACTTACAGAGACACAGTCCACAGGCTAGGCGTCCCACAGGTAGTGTAGCCTATAAATTGAGGCAAAAATGAGCAAGGCAGACGCACACTGGTCCGATGATCAAAGAGCAAGAGACAAGAAAGGTGAGGCTCACTGAACCATTATCTCTCCGCCCTTCAGTTAATCCTACTTGTACTTATCGGCCAGGCTGGCATAATGAACTATATCAGTGGGTGACACCCTCTCTCCTCCCGTTGAGGAGACATGCTTGGAGAGCTGGAGGAGCCATGTGGAGACCCACATCTGCACTGAGATGCTTCCACTGCCATTGGATCCACAAGACTTTCCACCCACCGGAACAGCGATCTTCCTGCTTTTGGCATCGTTGCCAGTGCTGCTTGAGTCTGAAGAGGAATTTGTGGACTAGTATCGGACACATGGGCCAATATCAGACTTATACACTTGATCTGGACTGGACTGGGATGTTTTCGCAATATACTATTGCTCTTTGATATAAAGCTCTCTTTTACACACCTCTGAGCGTTTCTGGATTTGTTTCTGCAGTCAACCCAGTCTAACACACT